CTGGAGACATTGTCAGACATGGCCCAGTCGCGCCCTCAATGGCGCTCGTGCATCAAAGCTATTGCCTTCAATGCATAGCTCCTTTTCCAACACCCCCCACTTGACAGCTCACGGACAATGCTGGATTTATGCACAATTTACCAGCTCGCGCCTGCAATGCGCAGCTACTTAAAATAATCGTCCAGCTGTAGCACCTTCTCGGTGCCTAGCTGCCATGCCACACGAAGGAGACACGAGGGCTGGGATACTGCCAGGTCGCCCAAGCCTAGACAGGGGAAGTTGAGTGGAGGAGGTCGGGTTCGAACCACGGACCTTCCGGTCTGCAAATTCGCGCTCTAACCACTTGGTCCATCTCGCCCAGCTACTTGAGCAGCTACTTACCACTTCCCCCCAAATCATCGGTGAACGAAACTGCGTCAGCTGCAACCACTGTGCGACGAGTACGCGGTTATTACAGCTGACAATGATGATGATGATGATGATGATGATGATGATGATGGTGTTGTTCTAGCACCTGACGGAGTGTGAAGATTCGGTCAATGCAACCTATACCAGACCGGATCCCCGCTTGCTGTTCTCGAGTCAGTGTACCGCGAGCCACTATAAAACGACGAAGCACAAGTAATGCCAGCAGCCTCGTTAAAACCAAGGTTAAGCTGATCTCCCTGTGGTTAGTTAACACACTCACTACGAGCCCTTTTTTGAAAACGGGCGCCCTCACCGGCTCCACCAACCCCCGAGTTAGTCTGGAACAAACTCCTTTTCCGAAATGCAGGAAAACAGATCAGATAAGCGCTGACTGAGGACTTCATCATCGTCTTAGAACAAGGCGGGTGGGAGGTCATCCGGATCAGAAGTTCGGTGGTACTTTAGAGCCTCTATGGCCTCTATGGCCTTTGAGGCCATAGATGGTTGCACGTTCGCCGTTCAGGGTTCTACGTCAGCTGTGAGCTCCAGGTGAGTGGCAGCTGGTGGCCACGACAATTGATGTCCGAAGTGTCCGGCCCAACGATTGAGGCGTTCTTCTTTGTTCAAGATGGTCACTCCGTCCCGATTCTTGATGGTTTCCGGGGACCGGTCGCACGGAGCAGTGGAAATAACCTTCGGGCATTATCAACTTCCTGTGTC